GTGGGCAGTGCTCTGGTCAGGACACACTCTCAGCACCCACACAGGCATTCATGTGGAGCCACGCTAGGGTGGCCCAGGGGCTCATCCTCCCTGGAGTGTTTCCAGCATCAAGGGGCAGGACTTGCTGGAGTGACGGGTATTCACCTGAAGTTGGAGCCCACCCAGAGAGGCACACATGCACAGCAGTGTGCCCAAGGCAGACAAGCTCCTCCTGGGAATTCTGCCAGCTGGTCTGCATGTCCCAGGCAGACACCGGATTTGGTGCACAGACCCCCTTCAAGGACAGGGACCCGTTCGTTGGCCTTAAGGGGTCATTCAGCTCATGCCCCACCCCTCAGGGCCACTCCTCCCCACACGAGGTAGACCAGGGGGCGTCTCCTCAGTGAGCACTGCTTGGGTGACTCACCTCAGGGCCACTTTCCAGGTATCAACCCAGACACCCTGGCAGCACACCACAACCACCGCCACCCCTTTTGTCTGGGACTTAGCCTATGGGCTCTGGCCCTCCCTGAGTGGGCAGGGCAGACTACTGGGCTCAGAGGATGGAAGGGCCCAGCAGAGCACTGCACCCAGGCTCCATCTCCATCCAAGGGGAAGCATGGGGCCTCTCTCATGCTCGACACCCCAGACTCACTCTGCCCCCACTCTTTAGGCAGGGCTGCCCCAATCATTCCACAATGGGGCAGGCTATACCCCATACCCATGGCCTTACATCCAGATCAGCTGCCAGGGCCCAAACTTTTGCCATCAGGCCATGCAGGATCACAAAGTTATGTCCTTTGGCCAGGAAGGTGGCTCATAAAACTGGAATTAGTCACTGATGTTTCAAAATTGCTGAATACACAGAAAAATCCAGGTTTCCAGCTTCCCTCAGAAGTAAAAAATCTAGCCACACAGAAACTGTATCTCGATGCACAGCAACATGGGCACAATACACCCCCCCCACAACATGGCATGTGTAGTCTGGCCCCACCACTGCAAGTGGATACCTCCCGAAATGCACTCCCCACAGGGCCCAGCACTTCAAACCTGAGGCCAGTTGTAGCCATGGGTGGGTCATGTAGGATTTTTTAGGGCCCTCTGGGTTCGGATGGAACTCGAGCCCCTTCCTCAGCCAGTAATCATGCAGGAAGCAGCTGGGGCCAGGCCTCTGTCCCCCTGCCAGCCAGTGCCCTGTCAGCTGTCTTGCTGCCAAGTAGCATCCAAGTCTGGGGCAAACGCTCCCAGGGCAGAAAGGCCCAGCAAGGCAGCGCTGCACCTGCACACCCACCCTGGCCCATTTGCAGGACACATCCAGACACTGGCCAGCAGGAGACCAAGGGGGCAGGCAGAGATGTTCACACTGTCCCCTGGAAGGAAGGCTTCAACCTCTGCTACCTGCAACATGAGCAGGGGACGGTGGAACACAAGGGGTCAATGACAAGATCTCGGAAAGGCCTTGAAACATCTACAGGGACCCCTTCAAGGGCAGGGGCTCCAAGGGGCAGGACAGCACAGGGGGAGCTGGTCCCATGAGGAGGCTGCGAGGGCAGTTTAGAGGGGAATTATGGTGAGCTGTAGACCCCCGAGCCCATGCCACATGGCATGGTGAGCTATGTCCAGGCCATGCAGCCCCCTCCCCAAGCCCACTGCTCAGTCGGAACAAAATGAACGAGAAGCAAATGCAGATGGGCAGAAAACTGCCGGTCAGAATGAATCACTCCGCGTGTGACACACGCTTGTCCAATCACAAACGCTGATGTTGTAAAAACAATGGCACGGCACTTTTTATTTTCTTTAATCAGAAAAATAAAGTCCCATGTTTCTGAGAGGAAGAACCTGGGCAAGGGCCAGATGCCTGTGGAACCTGCTCTGGGAGTTGGGTTGCTGGGTAGACCCCACACATACCTGGCAGGTCAGGACCCTGGGGGCAGGGTCCTCGTGAGCAAGCTGGAGCCTGGGCCTGGAGCCCAGGGCACCTCTATGGGCTCCGTGAAGGGGGTTAGCACTGGAGTGACTGTCACAGCTGGGTGAACAAGGTATACCTGCCAGGGACCCACCCCAGGAGGCCAATGCTGCTCTCCAGAAAGGGCTACAGCCCCATCCCCAGGGACCCCTGAAGGCTGAGAGTCAGAGCTGAACTCCCCCTTGTGTCCAGGACTCCGGGGTACCAGTGTGGGGCTGCCCAGAGCCAGGGGTCTGAGACAGCCCTGTAGTGTGAGGTCTGCCCTGACAGAGAACATCCCGGGGGTGCTGCAAGTCAGAAAGCTGCAAGGGCTGAAAGGGAGATGGGGAGGAGGCATTCCAAGAATGGTCCAGATGTAGCGGGTGGAGACAGCCCCCCACTTTAGTGGTCAGCTGCTGGGGTGGAGGCAGAGTCCTGGGGGACCCAGTCACCAGCAGCTCCTCCTGGACCACGGGCAGCCCCTTGCATCCCCTCCTGCAGTCACAGGACCCCGGAGGTGGACAGGCTCACCCTTTGCCTAAGGCTGGCTCCAGCTGTGCCCATGTTCTGCCTAGAGGTGGAAATGTACACTGGCCACATGGGGTGGGGCCAAAGAGGTCAGGACCTGCAGCTGGCACACCCCAACCACACACCCACAGACCACACAAACATACCACGTGCACGTGCACACACACTCCTTGGAGCAGGCGTGCATGGAGATTTGGACATACAAGGACATGTGGGTACTCTAGAGGCACAAGAGACAATGGGGGAGCCCCACAAGCCAAGCCCTTGGCTGGCTGTGTCCCTCTCCCAGGGGTGTACATATCACAGAGAAGCAGGCAGTGGGGCAGGTGTGGTGGGGAGGCAGAGGCCGCCGGGGTCCTTTCCTCTTCCTGTTGTGGGTGGGCCTCAGCCTGGTAGCGGCCCTGCGGGGGGGCTCCCGCCTCTGCTGAACCCGTTTCCAACTGCAAACAGCCCGGCCTGTCTGGAGAGGGCCTCCAGCCAGTCTGGCAACACATCTCAGCCGCAGGTGAGGTGGCCTTGGCCCTGGCTCTGCCCAGTGCAGCCACCCCTGGGGTGGCCTGGAAAATGGGGATCAGGCTCCAGGGCTCACAGATGGGGCCTGGCGGGCCACTGCAGGGGTGGAGTATCGAGTCCGTCGTGACCTCAGGGGCCTGCAGGGATGGCCCAGAGCCAGGAGTGAGAGCTGAGGCTGATGGACCTGAACCAGGTCCAACAGGGACCGCCGAGGCTGGCTCAGGGGCCCCAGGAGAGGCCGGCGGGGTGGGGCTGGGTGTCCCAGGAGCGACGGGCGCTTGGGTATGGGGAGTAATGGCTGGGGTTTGCAGGGTTGGCTAGGGCCCAGCAGGGACTGCAGAGGCTGGCACGGCTGCTCTAGGCCCATGAGGGGCCGTTTTCGTTGGCATGGCTGTCCGGGGCCCAACAGTGAGGGTTTGGGGGGGCCAGGCTGCTCTGGGGCTTCAACTAACTGCTGTGGCTGACTAAGACCCAGCAGTGACCGCTGGGGGCGGCTGGGCTGGCCCAGGAGAGACCTTTGGGGCTGGCACGGGGCTAGGAGTGCCCGCCGGGGGCAGCAGCACTGGCCTGAGAGTGAGCTGGTGGGCTGGTGACATGGATGCAGCATGAGCAGTGACTGTGGGGGCTGGCACCGCTGGCACTGGGCTAGTAGTGACCGCAGAGGCCGGCACCGCTGTCCTGAGGATGCCCTGCTGGGCTGGCTATGGAGACCTGGGGCCACCCGTGACCGCAGGGATCGGCAGCGGTGCCATGGGGCCAGGAGGGACCACAGGGGCCGGCAGCGGTGGCACAGGGCCAGGACAGACCACAGGGGCCGACAGCGGTGCCACGGGGCCAGGAGGGACCGCAGGGGCCGGTAGCGCTGCCTGGGGCCTAGAAGGGCCCACCGCGGCCGGCAAGGCTGAGCCAGGAGTGACTGCTGCGGCCGGCAGGGCTGACCTGGGGCTGGAAGCAGCCGCTGGGGCCGGCAGGGCTGACCTGGGCCCAGAAGCGACCGCCGGGGCCGGCAGGGCTGTCTCGGGCCCAGATGTGACCGCTGTGGCCAGCTGCGCTGACCCGGGAGTGGCTGCTGGGGCTGGCAGGGCTGCCCAGGGTCCGGGAGAGCCCGACGGGGCTGGCAGCGCTGACACGGGGCTGGGAGTGACCCCTGGGGCTGGCCGGGCTGGAGCTGCTGCTGGCGCTGGGCCGGGCCGCTCTGGTCCCAGTGGTTGGCTGGGAGCGGCCCCCCTTCTGGGGAGCACACCTGCATGGAAGAAAGAGCATGTGTCCACCTGGGCAAGTGTGCCTGCAGACCCCCCATCCAGCCCGGGCCCCTGAGACATGCTGCCCCCTCACCAGCAGCCCAATCCCCAAGGGAGTTGAAAGTAGAGCATGAAACACCAAAGAAACCCTCTCTGAGAAGAAGGCGCGAACCAGTGAGTCCCAGAAAAGGAAGCTGCAGTGCTGAGCCGACACCTAGGACAGAAGACTGCTCTGGGAGAAAGACCCCACCCTGTCTCCTGCTCCATCCTGCTGGGCTCTGGGTCACAGCAAGTGTGGCCCCTCCCACCAGGGGCCCACTCCTACAGCTGCAAAGGCCTGGTGGGGCAGCTCCTCACACCTGGACCACCAGCAAGTCACGGGACCCCTCCCCACATCTCGCAGACACTGCATTGCGCAGAAGTTTAGCAGATGGAGAGCACCCAGCAGTGTGCCTGGTCCCCACACTTACAGACCCACTGGACACCCTGTGGTCGGCGGAGCCTGACAGACGCAGTGGGGAGACGGGGCCAACCTAGCAGCGGGTGCACCCTCCTATCCACCTGAGCCAAGCACACACTCCCCCTGACAATTCCTGGGCTCCTGGCTTGGCCTCTCTGGCTGTGCCCCCAGCCATCTGCCTCTGCTCAGGGCTCAAACCCTAGTCCACATGTGCCCCATGCCCAACAATGATGGAGCATGTTGCCAGGCAGGCCCAGGTGGTATCCAGGTGCTGGTGTGGCCCGGGGGGAGGGCACAGAGCCTGGGTGCTGAAGAGGCGGGGCCCAGCACTCACCTGCTTAGTGGGCTGCAGTGGGGCCTTCCTTGCCCCCTGGTCGTAGGCAGGCTGCGGGTCCTGCTCAGGGTCACCCGCCTCCAGGGGCTGTCCTCCTGTTTCAGGTCGCCCATTCTCACTTGGCTCTGCAGCTGGGCAGGTCTCTGACTCCCGAGGTTTCTTGACAAGGCGACGTTCCCATTTCTGCTTCCGCTCATGTGGCTTCAGGGCCATGTCCTTCTGTGGGTGAGGAAGGACAAAGCTGGTTACCTGGCAGTGACGCACAATTTTGGGTGCTATCCCACGAGTGACACCACATGAGACCACTCCATGCTCTTGGTAAGGCCCTGGGCATGAGACAGGGCCTACCTAGAGGTGCTGAGCCCGAGCAGACCGTAGGGCCAAGACTCACCTCGGGAAGGAGCCTCCACTCTGGGAAGCCACCTCTGAGAGGATGAAGGGATGTGGATGACAGCTGGGCCTGTCATATGGGGGTGTCAGAAAGGAGGATGTTGGAACAAAGTTGGTAGGGGATGAGCAAGTTTCCCAAGAGCCCAGGTGGCAATGGGAGCTCTGATCCTGGTCCTGGTGTGGAGCCTCACTCAAACTCTGTTAGCAAGAGCAGGCACCAAGAGTGACAGCTGTGCTGGCCTCAGTGAGGTATGCCCTTCCCAGAGTGCCCTGTGGATCCCTGGATGAAGGCCTGGTGAAGGCCCTCACCACAGCAGCTGATCATGGGTAGGGATGGTCCAGCTCCAGCTGCTTCTGTCCCCTGAGCTGCCTGTGGTTTATCCACCTGATTCCATGAAGCCTGGCAACCTGGAGCTGTGGAAACCCACCTTGGGAAAGCAGGTCTATCTCAGCCAGATGTGCAGACCTTCAGGGACCCCAGACCTCTTGCCTGGAACAGAGCCCTGTGTCCACTTGTTCCCAGCTGCACCTGGTGTTGGGAGCAGAGCCTGGCATGCAGTGAGTGTTTACAGTGCATGTTGCATGGATGTCAACAGTGGCAGCATGGTGTCTTGTGCCCAGGCCAGTGCCTGGCTGGAGCCTCAGAGGTCTCAGTCCCCCTGGAGGTGGGTAGGAAGGGCCAATGTCCCAGGCTGCCATGGTCCCCTGGCCTGGCAGTGGGAATATGGATGCATTGCTGGCCATGTGAGGTTATCCAGCTTAGGGCCAACATCCTCCTCAAGATGTTGCCCACACCCCTCCTCCTGCCTGGTGCAAGGGGTCCACAATTCCCATTAGTGAGAGGCACTGACAAGGTTGCCAGGCCAGAGTGGTCTTTCCAGGCACAGAAGTCCCCATGACTGCCTGCCACATGGACCCCTCAGCCTGGGCTGACTGTCTGCCTCATTCTGCAGCTGCACACAGAGCAGCAGTTCTCCTCCCTTCCAACGGTGGAACACTCCACACTCCCAGGATACTCCTGGGAGGGGCCCACACCCATGGTCACACTGCTCTGGGGCTCACAGCAAGATTCGGGGAGGATAGCTGCTCCCAACACTCACAAAGGGGCTTGGAGCACCCCTTGAACTCTGACACCACACCAAGGGCTGGCATGTGCACTCTCCAGCATGAGGAGGGAGGCATGTCCTGCATCTGTGCCTTCTCTCCAGTGCCCACTAAAGGCAGTGGGAAGAGAAAGAGCAGCAGGCCATGAGGATGCAGGTGGGGCACTTATCCTGGGTCATCTACAGTTAGAAACACTCCTGAGCCAAAGCTGTTCCCCAGCTGACGTCCCTCCCACAAATTGATGTCCTCCCAGCTTATGTCCCCACAGCCTGGAATTCAGGTCCCAACTGATGAACAGCTCAGCCCATGCCATGTGGCTCTGCCCAAAACTCCACAGGCTTCTGGCTGTACAGCAGGTAGAGCCCTCATTTCTTGGACATGGCACAGACCTTTCCTCATGCTCACCTGCTGGACTATGCGACCCTGGGACACCCTCAGGTCACCTGCAATTCTGCAGTCTCTCCTGGAACCTTGGTCAGAAGTCTCAGCCCACTGTGAACCCCTTAGAGCCCAGCTCATCTCAGCCACAGGGCAAATCCCCTATGTGCCCTCACAAGGGAGCCCCACTGACCCCAGGACTCCCCAGCCCCTGCCCAACAGGCTGATTCCAGGTCTTGTGTCTCCCCCAACCTCTGCATACACTGAAGTGGCAGTGAGCACCGACTGTATGCTTGCTCGGCTCCAAGCACAGGTGGTGGCTGGCTCACAAGGAAGCTAGCCCATCAGGTGAGTTGTCCTGATACCCACAGATAGGAGGGTAACAGGCAGGGAAGCCCAAGGGAAGGGCCACTTCAGAGGTGCTTGGGATAGACGCTTGGGCAGGGCTTAGGGATCCTCCCACTGGGGAGCAGTGCCAGTCAGGAGGGAGGCTCCATTGGGCAGCACCTGCCTCCACAAGCAGCCACAGGCTTCCCTGAGGAAGGAAGCCAAGGCTGTCCCTCCAATGACGAGATCATCTTTGTGAAGATGGTGGCTCGATCCCCACGTGACACCTAGAGACCCCCCCAAATGTGAATGCCGTCCCCATGGGCTAGATGATGCCTCAGGCCTCCTGCCTTGGGCAGCCTGCCTGCCACCAGGGTGGTGCCAGAGCTCCTACTTGAGCACCTGTCACCTCAGGACCTCAATGCCCACCCTCATCATGATGCAGAGGGTGGATCTAGCAGTCAAGAGTCCCACAGAGCTGGTGCTGAGAAAGACCTCAGGCAACAGGCTGTGAGGGGCGCACTGGTCAGCACCCTCAAGAGAATGAACCGTAGGATGCACAGATAGTTATGGAGGCTGAGACGTGCCAGGTCTGCTGCAGGCAAGTCTGTGGCAGTGGAATGTGGGCCCCTCAGGCTGGAGGGGCTCTGCCTTTGTTCCATCCAGGCCTTTACTGCTCGTGAGGACCACTAGCTTTACTCTGTCCAGATTCACATGCCACCTGTCCAGGATGCCCAGCACATGGCCAGAACCATGTTGACCAGGTGCCTGGGCCCCACCACTCAGCCTAGGTGTGTGCAGCAGTCCCATGCTGGCAGGTGCAGATGCACCTGAAACATCATGCACACAGGTGGGACACCCTGCCCTACACACACTCCCAAAGCTTGCTCATATCTGTGCACGCAGGCACTCACACATGTGCACATGCTCACACAAGCACTCTTGCATGTGTCCACATGTCCACAGCACATCCTCACTCATACACACGCACACACATGTGGTCCCCACAGTTTGGGCAGTGGGCCATGGGAAGCCCTGAGCAGGACAAGTATCTCTCTTCCATTGTGCATGCCCTGGCCTCCCGTGCCACACACATGTGCACCCATCTCCGGCTACCCAGACCTTCCTGCTGCCACTAAAGTGTCAAATTACCTCTCCCCAGCTCCCTGTAGACCACCTCCTCCAGGATGGGTCAGTGCCCTGTCACCGTGTGACCCAACTCTAGGATGGGCACTCCCTGAGTTTCTGTGGGCGAGTCAGCTTTTTATAGGGCCTTGTTCCAAACAGGAGCAGGAACCACTTCTAGGGCTGTCTAGGACCACTTCTGACCCAAATGAGTAAAATTACAGGAACCATTGTTTCTAGTTGGGAGATGGGATGACCTCTGAACTTTCCCATCTGAGCTCTGTCTACGTGTGTATGATCAAAGGAACAAGCTAGCATCTCACTACAGTTGTGAACCCCACAGGAACAGCCTGCTCCCAGGGAAACCCAGTTGGGCTGGGATCCGTCCTTCCCAAGAGCACTTGTGAACAAAATACACAAAATGGGCAGATGGATGGGAGGGCAGCAAGCACGCTGCAACCCAGCTGCAGGCCTGGCTGGTGGGCATGCACACAGCCCCTGCCTGCAGGTTTGCTCTGGCCCCTCTGAAGGTTCTGGGGATCCCAGGCCACCTCTCCAGACACACACCCAGGCGCTGCATTGTTCATGTGGTGGAAAGGACACATTTGTCAATCACAAATTGTTCAAATTCATCACATGTTCTACAAACTTGTTTTGGCATTTCTTTGTTTAAAAAAACACATAAAAATCAGGAAACAGACAGTTAGAACTCTTGAAACATCAGTGCCTGAGCCTATTCCCTGGCCTGGACTTGGTCCAACTCTGGCCTGGTCATGGAGCACACTCCTGCCTTGGTGGCCAGTGAGCTCCAGGGCAGGAACTCAGGCATCTGGAAGGGGTCAGGGGAATAGGGAAGCTGCCTGTCCCTACCCTTCTGCGAGTGAACCAGTGCATAGCAGGTGAGACCCTGTGAAGGTAGAGGAGACAATGAGACCAAAGGCCCTCTTCTCTTGGGGCAGCACCAGGTCCAGCAGTGCTGCTCCCACTCCAGCCTCTGCCCACCCTGAGAAAGGCCTGTGCATACCTGTGAGCACACACAGAGCCCCACCCCCAGAACCCATGCCCACACAGGGGGGCCCTCCACAGTGGGTGGCGCAGGCACAGGGGTGAGGACCTGGGGGCAATAACCCTGCATGAAGTCCCCAGTACTCCTAGCCATGGCCAGGCCCCCAGGCCCTCCTGGACCACTGGGTGGGGTACACCCTGCCATGAAGTCACTAGCTGGGTTTCCCTGTAGCAACATTATGGGACCATGTGCTCCCCTTAAGCTACCACTGTGCAGCACCTGTAGGACCCTAACTGCAGAATGCCGGCCAACATGGAGACTCGAAGTACTCAAACAGCATACAGACCCCATCCCCCCTGCTCAGAGGGGGCCAAGGCTGCTTGCCCCTGAGTCAGGCCCTCCCAGGCCCCCAGGCCCTGTAGGAAAAGGTGGGTGCCCCCTCTGATCCTGGAAATGCACCAAGTCCCTCCCCCAGCACCCAGGCCTCAGGGCCACACGGAGCCCCCCTCCAGTGCCAAGCAAGGGCACACTGGATGGCCCCCTTGGCAGGTGGGAAGGCCTGTCCCAGCAGACAGCCCACATGAGAGCCCACCCCCCTCTACTTCCTACCCTGCATAGGAGGAAACCCATGCAGAAAGGCCAGGTCACCCCTGGGCAGGGCCAGGTCACCCCTGGGCAGGGCCAGGTCACCCCTGGGCAGGGCCAGGCCTGGAGCCTCTCCCCATCAGGGCCCCGCAGGGGCTGTGGGTGGCTGAGGCAGCCTGTCCCGGCAGCTCCTGGACCGCCATTCCTCAGCAGCCTTGTCAGCTCATGGGTCTGTTGGTCCAGGAACTGTGGCCAAATCCCAACACCACTCACTGGGCAGGCTATCATCCCACCTGGAAGCCCC